TTCTAGTTACCACAGATTTCTTGCCTTAATGAAAATGTCACCTGGACCGATTTCTGGGCATTGTCCGTTTTTCTCTGCTTAGCCAACCATTTTTCGATTAAGGTTTCGAGGACAGTTTTTCTTGCAAGTATTGTAATGCAACAACTGGAGACGGGCTGCTTGCATTGCTGGAAGTATCATTAGCGTATGTAGCTGCCTCGACATAACGACTGGTGGACAATAAAAATAAAGACATAAACATAAAATGTTCTGTTAGTGAAATAAGGCTTTCTTATGAGATAATATGGTGGTGTTTTTTTTTTATATTTTTAATAATAATCCAGAATGCCAACCTTTATCAAATGCCTGTTTCATATCTAAGACGTCTGCGCAATACTCCTTGCGCATATTTCAGCATTAGCTTCTGAGATTGTGACCTAGCTTATTGGCTAACTCAGCTGAGGAGGACTATCTAAAATTAGCTTACTTTCACCAACTCTTTCAGCATTATAGTGTGATATTATCTTTTAGTAAAAGATTGAGTGCAAGTGCTGTGCAAAAGCCTCAGCCATCTCGTCGTTTTTTCTACAACGTTGGCTATTTCTGTCGACTACAAGAGTAATCCTACTCATGTGTCTCTTCCGCTATCTAGTTGCGTGGCTAAGGCTATAATCAGGATCACTTGTAAATGGGTCGAGTATTTTAATTAAGTTTGCTGTCTCTTGATCTTTCACAGCTTGTAGCCTAATATTTAAGACTTTGGTTGCCTTGCATATCGTGGACCAAGCAAAACGCTCCAAATAATCCAATCAAGGAGAGTGGCCAATTCAAGGCGAGGGATGAGATAACTAGATAATCTTAAAATCTCTTACCGGTTGTCAATACACCATCAGGTGAAGAGAACCCATCTCTAAGATATGTATAGCAAGGCATGAACAGAGTGTGTGAAGAGTAGCAGCAGCACACAATAGGTTATCAATAGGCCAGAGTGTAACGATATTAGACGAAGTAGTTGTTGTAATGACGGAGCAGAGTAAAGCATGCGTATAAATCAGGTTTCACAAGAACACAATTTGGGATTGTCGGCTACAACAACAGCACTGGCAAGGAGTTTTATCATCCCCAGGATTAAACCCGTGCACGAACCTAAACACTTTTACTAAAAAGGGCCTGAACGAATGTTATAAAATCTTGCAAGTATAGGTTCAGGAACTGTATTCAAAGCAGACGCGCATGAATGTGTGTGTGTACATGTATACAGAAATTCTTGGAACTTGCGCTTGCTGATGCACGTTTTTGCAGCCCAAAACACATTTTCTTTCGTGTTTCTTTTCAGTAGTAAATCTTAATGTACTATAATATATTCGTGCATTCTCAAAATGACAATGTCATTAAAAGTGTGGCCTAATTAGAAATTAAGTTGGTTTACTAACATGATTTATAGAATTGCGGTGGTAGCGGGGAGGTGGCGATAGCTAAAAAATGAAAGATACTTGATATATAAATATACTATTCTAGAAGCTACATGTCAAGTTTGGTGACTCTAGCTCTTATTATATACCAAAATTGGTCAACAAACAGGATTTCGATACGATTCTTATCGATTATTTGAAAACGGGGCAAGTTATCGAATAGCGGAAACAAACTCGATCTGCGCGGGCATTAGGAGGACCTACAGCTGAAATTCCGAGTCTCTAGGTCTTATAGGTTTTGAGATTCTTGAGTTCATACTTACGGACGGACAGACGGACGGACGGACAAATGGACAGACAGACGGACATGGCTAGGTCGGAGATGCTTGCTTCTGCCTGTTACATACATATGCACAAATACATTTTACCGATTTTTAATGCGTTCAGGGTATACAAACCGTTAAGATGAGTGTTGACTTGTTATGTGAAATGGATACTTCAGAAAACTCTAGCATTTCTTCTATTGAGAGTGGTGGCATATCACTTTTTTCGAAAAGTTTAACAACTTCCTCTAGTTCGTTTTCATTGAAAAGCGGAGAATTTATAATAATTAATCTTGCCCATTGGATGGTATATCAAATATTGTTCAATTCCTCTTTAATTATCCTAACCTGATTCTGAAGACGGACAGCTATCTCGTTGCTGAGGTAACTATCTTTCCTAACTGAATTTCTTACGTAATTTGATATTATAGTGAACCTATTAAGTCTATCTTCGAGCTGTTTATTTATTATTACTTGTTGGTTGTTATTTACAGTAAGTTTGTCGAAATTGTTTCTATCATAACCAAATCTTCGTGGTCTGGGCTGCCTGCTGCATGTATATTCTATGCCGATCCTAATCAATTTAAAGATCTAGGATTTCGTCGGTCAAATGATGAAAGGATGGCGTGAAATGTGGTGAATGTTTGGGTGTTTTCGTGATGAAGGGTATGGTACAGACTGTTACCGTGCAAATCACTCTCTACGTGAAGATTGATTGTATCGAGTGCACTTCTGATTTGGTCCAAGTTGATGAAATGAATGATCTTTGCCGTGGACGCTCGTATTTGCCCGACTCCCTTTTAGATAGATATGGTCTGCGCATCTGTATAATTGGTTATTTCCACAAACCCACAAGATGGTATTAGTATGAACAGTAATCTTAAAAATAATATGAACTTTTAATATTGTTTTTGAGGATTGTTTTGCCTGATTCGGAAATTGCGGTAGTACCTCTATCTTCTTTAACTATTTCCTTTTTATACCTTAAAGTCAGTTTTGATCCAAGCCTGGTATTCTGTTTGACGAATATCTCTTGTCCTCGCTCGTAAGTCTTTACTGGTTTTCTGATTCAACTGTAGTTCTCTAAGTCTTTCAGTTGCTTTTGCTTGATTTTGTCAATAATGTCCTATCGGCTTTTATCGTATCGTTCGGGATTAGTTGAGGCAATTCTATCAAAGAAGACATTTAACGGTCGCTTTTTCGTAACTGAGTGTATTGTGTAATTGTATTCATAGATAGCTCTGTTAAGTAATTCTTAAAATGTTCGGTGTTCGTTCTTCGTTTTGAGACATCTCATGATTTCGAAAATTGTGGAATGGAATCTTTCAACCTGCCCATTGACAGAACTTTCATAGGGCGGTGCTGATTTCTAAATATGAAGGTGATTGTTTGTGAGGCGGCCACTATGGTAGCCACCCCACAGTTCATTATTATAGTATGGTTAGTTTATAAGCATTATTTCTATAAAGTAATAAATAGTAAATTAAAGCCAAGAAGCCATGTAGCCAGCGAGGGCGAGGTTAAGGTTTTAATTTAACCGCCGGACGCCGCAACAACCGTGCGTTGCCGATCGGTTACTCAACACCGTCTCGAGAGCGCAGTTTCAATTCCGCGGCGAAGAGCGAAAGCTCCGAGGCGAAGTTGCGAAAGCTCGCGGCGAAGTTGAGTGGCCGAGGCAAGCGCATGGCTCGCCTGCGAGCATGCCGGCACTTTTGGAGGGAGTATCAAAGTAAGTGGACGTGTGCAACAGAAGGCAGAGACGAAAGGGACTTAGTGTGGGCAGCGGACCGCTAGGGCTCCGAACAGTGCGGCAGGGCTTTAACTTAGGGAAATCGTGTAAGATAGTAAACAATAAGTGAAATGAAATTAGCAAGGAATTCGTTCGTTTTCGATTAATACTAACTTCGGACCCCGAAGTTAACCAGTATTCAGCATAACCTCTTCTCATAACCAATCCGTCCGTGTATGTGTGAATCAGGACTTAGTTTGGCAATCGCGTGAGCAATCCCGGTCGTGCGGGTGCGTGCATTCGGTTAGTTTGGCGATCGCGTGAGCAATCCCGGTCGTGTGTGTGTGTGCGTATTGGGTTAGTTTGCCGATCGCGTGAGCAATCCCGGCCGTGCATGTGTGAATCAGGGTTTAGACCGCCGATCGCGTGAGCAATCCCGGTCGTGTGTGTGTATAAGTTTACGCTTAGTCTGCTGACTGCGTGAGCAATCCCGGCCGTGTAGGTGTGTATCAGGTCGTGTTTATGCATCTCCTTCCCTATCCTATGAAAGTAGTAGGAGTCATAGTTTGTTTGAAGCGCTTCCTCCCCCTCTAGACCCTCCATCCCAGCAAACTAACAAATGTCTTGTAGATTGCTGGTCCTGGTAAGACTGAGAGTTGTACCCCGGCCGGTAGCTTCTTTACAAGTGGCGCCCGAGCAGGGACGTAGGAGGCGTTTAGGGGCGTAGCACGTTTTCGGATTAAATCCCCGCAAGTATGCCCAAATAAGTGTTTTTAAAAAAAAAAATAGGGAAGTTGCATATAGGGTATTTTTAGTTGGGCATACCCTAGAGAGTATGCACCCTAGCAGAGGAGTAGGGAAAAATAAGCCGTCACACATGGGTGAAATTGCAAATCCAGGGTATTAGGTAGTCAGGCATACCCTAACAAGGGCATTGTCAGACGATAAAATGAACACCTGCAAGATTTAGGCGACCAAATTTATGCAAAATCGAGCACAAAAAGCAGACAACGGACGGCCGAAAAAAGTACAGCGCGCGCCAGCCGGGCGACATCGAGACCACGCTTGCACACGTGTGCACAAACGCACGTCGCAGTCGACGTCGGCGTCGAAGGGCCGTTAAAGCGTTGCGGCAGCGGGTGTACAGTGGGACGAATTCGACTCACGTGCTGTGAAAAGTTGAATTAGTCAGTACAGTTGGCGAAAGTAATGAGAACGGGTGCGTTTAATAATAAATAAAACGGAGTTAACAACAAAAACAGACAAGTACAATACAATACAAAGCTTCAAGTGAATTACTTCTCTTTATACTTTTTTTTGTGAAGTGAATAAAAGAAAAAGAAAGAAAATAAAAGAAACAAAGGAGTGGAAAAATTGGAATATATATCTGCGCATATATACTGTCGTAAACAAATAAGCCACGGAAAGACTACGGCACAAGTGAAATAAACAACCTACGGAACGAGAATCGCCCACCCACGAAACACAATGACCGAGTAAGAGTCCATGAGAGAGAGATGTAAAAGCGGCACCTAGAGTGAGTAGTAAAAACTCAAAATGGAGCCAAGTGAGTGCCAGTATCCGGGGGAAGGCGTGCGCTGGATCCACCAGCTGCGCAAGGAGGAACTGGTAGCGATCGCCCATGAGTTCGGGCTAGACAAGGAAGGGCGCGTGGGGGAGCTGCGTAAGCGGCTATCCACGTTCGCTCAGGATGGCGGTCATACATCCGAGATTTCGGCTCGGCTTGCCGAGTTAGAGTCTCAGTATGCCAAAACGTTGGAGCCGCCATCCTGGGGAGTCTCACCCGACGTAGGCGAACGGCCACTCCAGGAATCGGAGCCCGATCTGCGGAGCTCACAACTGTACGAGCGTCCACAACTCCTCATAGTTTGTTTGAAGCACTTCCTCCCCCTTAGAACCGCCATCCCAGCAAACTAACAAATGTCTTGTAGATTGCTGGTCCTGGTAAGACTGAGAGTTGTACCCCGGCCAGTAACTTCCTTACATGTTTCGGAATTAAGTGATTTTTCATTAACCATCACGATGTACTTTGGTACACCGTAACAATAGTTCTTGCAATGGTTTTTTAATATCTTCTATGGACTTGGATTTAATAATTCTACCTTGTGCGAGTTTCGAAAATTTATCTACTGCAGTCAGCCAGTACCTTTTCTGTCCGGGGAATTCTGGTATGGGTGTTTCTTTGATGTGGGGATTCGGAGGATGTCTATCGTATTTAGCGCCTCTAAAAACTTGGCATTGTTTAACAAAGTTTTCTATTTTCTTTTGTTTCTAGGAAAGTAGTATTTCTGCCAATTGTAATTTATTTTCTTGTGTTACGATGGGCTCTATTGTGAATTTGAAGAATTTGTTTGTCCTGATCTCCTTCAGTTGTGAGGACATTTTACTGTTAATGAATTGAATCTGGCCTTTATATTTTTTAAATTGTTGGGATATAAATTCTGAATGTTCCCCCTTTAATCTTCGGGTGCGTAAATTCCGTTGATGACAGATGGGTTTAAGTACTTTTTTAATAATTTTGTCAATTCTGCTATTGTATAATCAGGTTGCCTTATTAAATGTCTATGGAACGTTGGGAATGGGTTACTGAATTTATAGTCTATATTTCTTCCTTTGTAAGAAGTATCTGATTTTTGAAAGCGTTGATTGGGACTTCGATGCTTGGGATTAAATGTTCTTCTGAACTGTTGGCACTGTATTGTGTTGATGCCACTGAGTTCACTTGGCTAACCCTTGCATCTGCCACGACATTTCCTTTACCTGTTCGGTAAAGCAATTAATAGTTGTATTCCTCTAAATATGATTTCCATCTCTCGATTCCCGCATTGCTTTTCCAAATACTAAGAATGTGTTTATGGTTGATGGTCAGTGAAAATTTTTACTTTTGCTTTACCGTAAAGATAATTTTTGAGGGCTTTCGATAGTTGCATAGTTTTCTTCAGTTTCCGATAGCGTTCTCGAAAGAAATGTTATTGGCCATGCGTTTTGAGAAAGTACCGCGCCGATTGCAAAATTCGAAGCGTCGGTTGTTATGTGGAATTCTATAGAAAAGTCTGGATATAGTAATACTACTTCGTTGGATGTTGGTGCATTCCTTATTTTATCGAAGGTTTTCTGTAACTTTTTGGTCAAAATTGACGAGTCTTTTTGAAGATTCTCGTTTGGACACGCGTCCATCTTTAACCCTTAGAAGAGAGCAAAGCAGTTTTGCAATCTTACCGAAATCATCTTACCGAAATGACCGAATTATTTCGTCATACAAAAGCTCTTTTACCTGTTTGTTACCCCAGTCCTTTAGGGACATAGGGTACTGGTAGAATTTAGAGTGTACTGGTGAATCATTCGTGGTTCTTATTTATGCTTTAACGTTTGTAGTGTAAGTCAATTTCTGGTTAGGGTTGGCATAGAGTTTCGAGTACTTTTGAATTAATCTGTCCAAGGCATTCTTCTGTCTCTGTTAAATGGTCCGTTTTAGGGATGATACTATTGATGGCTTCGTATTTTTTATCTTTTATGGACACATGAATAGAACTTTTTCTAGTCATGATTTTTTTGCTTATTTTAATTTTTGCTTATAATTCTTTCAAACTATCGTTTCCTAAGATGGCATCGAACGATGTAAGTGTGGGCAACACAAAAAAATTAACATTTATTTCAGGGTGGTTAAATAGATTAGCAACTTTGAGGTGTGTAATGAGTACACTTCGACCTATAGTGACTGCTTTAAAGCTTTTTTCGTTCGGGATCGGATTAAAGCCATTGAATGAATGTAGTACCTATTTGAACCTCTATCTAATAATATCTTGAGGGCTTGGCAGCTCTTCATTTTATACTCGAAATATGGTAATGTGGAGTCCGTTATTCTAAAAAATTTAATGTTGAATACTCTATGGTATTGTTGTCGGTTTCGTTTCGTTTTGTTTGATTGTTCGGTTGTGTGGGGTTGGGTTGGTGTGATGATTTAAAACCAGAATCATTGTTGTTCCGATTCATATTAGTGGTGTATTGTGGTACAGTTGTTGGTAGTGTACTGTGTGCTGGGGCTGGACGGAGTTGTCGATGATTCGGATTATAGCTTGGTAGTATTGTACGTGGTGCTGGTACCGGTCTTTGTTCAGGAATCCTAAAGTTTGGATTATGGTTCTTATTATTTGCGTAGGCTGTTCTAAAACTTTGATTTTCTAGTTTTAGGCAGAACTGTATTACCGATGGTAGGCCTTCGGGTTCTTTGATTCCAAGCAAGCGGGGTAGGTCTCCCCTAAGCCTTGAATGAATGTGTCTATCGCATTGTCCCTGTATGATTTTGTCATAATTATCCCTGCTTCCTTACCCAAATTCATAGAACCGATTTTGTTTAGTATTAATGACAAGTATTTGCAGACGACTTGGTAGAAGTCTTCCGCCGATTGATGACTACCCTGCATTTATGTAGTAATTTGGTATTCTTATGTGCTGATTTCGTTTGTCCGCGAAGTGGAGAGTGAGGCCGCGTCCCAATTCAAAGGCACATTGTAGAATCGAGCACCTCATCTGCATATCCTGTAATTTTGACACGAATTGTGTGTAATATGGCCACATAATATGTAAATATTAGGGGGTGCCTTTTTCGGCGTCGTCGGAGTATATTTGTAGAATTCTTTCTATAGCCTTCATGAATTAAAGCCTACTGGATCGACAGAAAGTTCTTTAATACACAATATATGGTTCCCTATCCATATCTGCAAAGTTTCCTGGAAAGCTTAGGTTTATGGTTTGAGTTGTGGTGTGCGCGAAATATTTAACTGTTGACCTAGTACCTCTCCTATTAAATTCTTTATCCGTTGTCGAGTGTTTTCGTCCATGTTTCTGTTTCGAATTGGTGTCTAATTAAATTATTCTGGTTTGCCATGCGAGAACAATATTATTAAAAAATTATTTTCAATTTTTACGTCAAAGGGAAGATGAATGATGCTTACAAAATTTTAATAAAAGACTATATTATAAAACGGAGTATTTAGAATTCACTATATCTCAGGTATGAGGGACAATGCCTAAAAGTTTTCATAAAAGGGATTTATCAGTAACTATTAATCAGAATATTGTTGAATTGAAAAAAATGCCTGTATGTTATGTGATTGCGCGCTTGCTTACTTTGTTTTTGAATTTTTTGTTTTTTTGTAGATTTTCCTTAAAACAATTGTGATACTCTCGCTTAATAACACAAAAACACTTTTCACTTCAATTTTGACAAGCTTTGCCACAGTGTGATGGTGTTATATTTCTTTTTGATTTCCTTGCTGTTCACGATTTTGTACAAATATTTAATTTTACGTCAATTCCTGATGGTTTTGATCACTTATTATTTAAAAATTCTTCTTTTTTTTTTTTATGTGTTGGTTATTTGTTTTTCGTGTATTTATTCACTAGCCTACGGAGGTGATCCTTTTTGCGTCTGCTACTTGGGCTCCGTTGTTGTAACATTCACGTATGCTAGCTAGTTGATGGTCGTGTAATTGTTAGCGATGCACGCACAGGTTCCGGCTCTATGACGTCGGCTGGGGTGGGTTCTACATGGTATCACCTTACTACCGACTCACATACATGCATAATTACATAAAAATTCGCGTGCTGTTGAGAAGTTCGATTGTATTTGAATGAAATAGGAAAAATTGAGAAAATCACAGAACAGGGACAAAAAAAGGGTAAGTGGCTGATTTCATTGTTCCTACTAGAATCCACATCAAGTTCAAGAGAACTAAGAATATCACTTAAAAGTAAAATCAAATAAAAAAGGTCGGTTATAAGGTTGATTATAACTTAAAGTAAAGAAGAAAACTAAAATACATGCTAAAAACACTTATGATAGTGGCTCCAAATTGGAAATTCCTAATTATCTTTTTATAATAAGTAAAAAGTGTATATTTTAAACAGTTTAAAACTTGTGAAAAATTATCATAAAGTGCAAACGTTGCCAAAGAAAAAGTGACGTTAATTTTAAAAGCCCATTAAGCTATCAAATCTTATTCTTTTTTTTCTTTTTTTCTCTTTTTATTCTACTTCTGTGCTGAATTTTGTTTATTTTTATTTTGTTTTATTTGAATTAAGTCTCACTTTGTCTTAATTTAAGAGTCTTTAATTTAGAATAAATAATGATATCACTTACGTACATAACATCCATCTCCAAAAGCGCTTTCGTTGATGTACGGCGATGACTTGATGTACGGCGGGACTATGGGATACCCTGAACCCTCGTTTTCTTATATACACCAAATGCAGCTCGCGCTACGCGCTCGTTTGCTTTAGTAGTAATAGAAAAATTAAAAAAAAAAATCCCTTGGCAGGGTTCGAGCTCGCAACTGACCGCATTACTTACTGCCACCACACCAGCAAAAATAAAAATAAAAGAAGTTTCCTCGGTAGGGTTCGAACTCGTCACTACTTTCCGACGCCTCTACTCAATAGCCACACCAATAATTAAGTTAATTCATAAGTTAAAAACTAATTAAATTAGCAGCACAGAAAACAATACAATCGCAATTGCAATGTTGTTGACAGAATTCAAAGCAGACGCGCATGAATGTGTGTGTGTACATGTATACAGAAATTCTTCGAACTTGCGCTTGCTGCTGCACGTGTTTGCAGGCCAAAACACATTTTTTTTCGTGTTTCTTAACCGATCTTGATGAAATTTTCAGTAATATTCGTGTATTCTCAAAATGACAATTGCATTTAAATTGTGGCTTAATTAGGTAGGCAATACAAGTTAGTTTACTAACATGATTTAGAGTATTGTGGTGGTGGCGCGGAGGTGGCGATAGCTATAACATGAAAGATACTTGATATATATACTGTTCTAGAATCT